TTAAATGAACTTTTTAATCACATTCCCCATCTGCCTCACTCTCAAATGCATGTACAATTGATATCATTAATATTTGTTCACACAATCTATAAAAGGTGTGTGTGTGTGTGTGTGTGTGTGTGTGTGTGTGTGTGTGTGTGTATTTCTCAGTAGTGGGTTTTAAAACCCGTCACTACTGGTTCGCTCGTGGGCACTCGCTTGCATGTGCAACGCTTCTGCGCATGCGCAGAAGCATTCGGATGGGTGGGCAGAGCCTACCGCTGCTACCAGTTCGCCCGATACGGGGCGAACTGGTAGCAACCTACCACTGTGTGTGATATATATCACACACACACCTCTCTCTCTCTCTGTGTCTCTGTCTCTCTCTCTCTCTCTCTCTCTGTGTCTGTTTGTCTCTCTCTCTGTCTCTCCCTCCCTCCCTCCCTCCCTCCCTCCCTCTCTCCACAAAGAATCATGTAATTGCAGCATTCCTGGAAGATACTATTTCCTTTTAAAGAGTTGTTCCAGTCTGGCTGTTTTGCTGCACAACAACCATTCCTCATTAGAGTATCTCCTTTTAGATTCAGGCTCAGTCTGCTTTAATAACAGAATAGCAGAGTTGGAAGGGACTTCGGCATCTTCTAGTCCCTTGCTCAATCAAGGGACCCTATACCATTCTAAATGGCTGTCCATGCTTTTCTTAAAAACCGCCAGTGATGGTGCACCTGCAATTTCGGGAGGAAAAGGTATTCCACTGATTAATTGTTCTCAATGTCAGGAAGTTTCTCCTTAGTTCCAGCTTGAATCTCTCTCTGGCTAGCTTCCACCCATAGCTTCTTGTCCTGCCCTCAAGTACTTTGGAAAATAAATGGATCCCATCTTCTCTATGACAGCCCCTCAAATATTGGAAGACTTCCATTATGCCACCCCTGGTCCTTCTCTTCCTTAGACTAGACATACCCAGTTCCTGCAACTGTTCATTGTGTGTTTTAACCTCCAGCTACCTAATCATCTTTGTTGCTCTTCTCTGCACTCTAGAGTCTCAACATAGTTTTTGTATCATAGTCACCAAACCTGGATGCTGTATTCCAAATGTGGTCTTAAAGCAGTATAAAGCAATACTAATACCTTGATAGTATCACTCTTTTGATGCAGCATAGGTTTGCATTGGCTTTTTTGGCAGATGAAGCACACTGTTGGCTCATATTTACGTGATTGTCCACTAGGACTCCAAGATCCCTCTCACAGTTAATATTGTTGAGTCAGCTGTCAGGCCTGGAAGCCATCTTTTTTGTTGGATCTTCAGGCCTGGCACATTTACTGCTGTGGGAAATTGGGAGGGGGGATTGTATGGAGCATGGGTGATATGTAGTCATAATAACATTCCTTTCTCAGAAAGTCAAGGACATCTTGCCCTGCACGTGGATGGCTGGAACTGGGAGACCTGTCCAGTTGGGATTGTGCTGTAATTGGACCATGTGATGGACTTGTGGGTGTTGGGCAGGGACTTAAACTTTCCTTTGGGTGGAGAACCTCTGGAAGCTTTCATATTTGGGTTTCCCCAGATTGCCAAAATAATACCTCTAATAAAATATAGCTTTGAGGAAATTCAAGCCTTGGAGTTTCTTTTCATTGGGGGTTGTTAAACTGGGAGGATCCCACTACTGAACTCAACTGTTACTAGTTGAGTAGAATATTCTATCTATTCTATCCCCTCATCTAGATGATTTTTGAAGATGTTAAAGAATATTGGGCCCAAACCCAAACCTTTTGGTACGTCATTGCAGGATTCCCTCCATGTAGATGTAGTTCTACTCAGGATCACCCACTGAGTACAGTTGACCAGCCAAATGCAAATCAATCTGATGGTGGCACCGTCTACTCTATCCCATATTGTTCTATCCTACCAAGAAGCAGGTTGTGGTCTACTCTGTCAAATGCCTTGCCAAAGTACAAGTATATTATGTCCACAGCATTTTGCTGTTCCACTAATTTAGTTATTTTATGAATTCAAAGTATCGTGTAGTCAGCCACTTTTCCTTAGGAAGGTTATGCATTCCATTTAAGATGATGAAAAACTGGTTACAAGATCAGGATTTTGGCTTGAATCTGAAGAACATAATTGGGAAAAACTTAATGATCTTGAATGAGTTCAAAAGCTACTGCATTCAAGTACAGTAGAACCTCTGGTCACGACCAGAGTTTGTTCCATAACTTGGTCGCAATCCAATTTGGTCAGAACCTAATTTTGGAAATTTGGCGCGTACAAAAAAAAATGGTGCAGAAGGGGAAATTGGCCGCAAAAAAAAAAAGTGAATTTTTTGGTCGGAACCCGATTTGGTCGTGGTCAGAAGCGTTCGTGACCAGAGGTTCTACTGTATACCAAAAGAATTTGTTCATGCTATGGCTGGACATCCTGCTATTATCTTACGTAATCCTAATAAAAAGTGCATGGTAATTGGAAGACAGATGTTAGTTCTACCTTTAAGAAAAGAGAAGAGGACCAGCTGGGAAAACAAGAAATCAGTTGACTAATTCCTGAGAGGATTCTGCACGAAATCAAATATATTGATCTGTAAGCATGTTAAAAACAATTTAGTAAACTACAGCTAATCCTCACTTACCAACTATTCCGTTTAAGCAACTGTTCAAAGTTATGACAGTACTGAAAAAGTAATTATGATTGGTATTGCATGTTCAACCATTGCAATTATCATTTGATAAAGATTTGGATGCTTTGCAACCAGTGAGTAAATACACCCATTGCAACATTCCAAAGTCACATGATCACAGTTGTGAACTTCACAATCAGCTTCTGACAAAGTCAATAGAGAAGCTAGCAGTAAAACTGTCACAGTCAGGTATCTCACTTAATGACTGCAAATGACTCACTTATCGATTGGTTTCATACTTTAAATAGAAACTTCATCAGTTTGGAAAACCTGTGAGTCCTGTACTGAGTATGGAATTGAATTCAAAGGTCTACATATTCCTATCCAATTGTTACAGTTCAATGATCTTGTGAATTTTGATGCTCTCAATGTTCTGACTGGACCCAAAAGACTGGAAATACTACTGTATTACATGATGGTGGAACAGAAAATGCAAGTATGCACTTTGAATGGGGACTGTTGAAGTTTATCATCTAGCCCAGGGGTCTGCAACCTTAAATACTCAAAGAGCCATTTGGACCCGTTTCCCACAGAAAACACTGGAAGCCACAAAACCTGAGTGGGCGTGGCCAACTCAATGTCACTCACTTCCACCAGTCACATGACACCCCCCAGCCACGCCTACCCAGCTGGTCATTAGGGCAAAGAACCAGTTGGTAAAAAACACCAGGAACCACAAAATCCTTTTGACTTATCTTTCTTTCCCCTCTCTCCCTCCCTCTCCTCCCCTCTCTCTTGTCTCTCTATGTCTCTCTCTCTCTCCCCCTCTCTCTATATCTCTCTGTCTGCCCTGGCTGCTTTTCCATCCCCCGCCGTCGCCCTTTTCAGGCTAGGCGAGTGACAGGGAGGGTGAGGTGCGGGGTCAACCAGTAGTGGGATCACCTGACAGGGAGCCACAGCAGAGGGCCCAAAGAGCCGCATGCGGCTCCGGAGCCGCAGGTTGCTGACCCCTGATCTAGCCTCACCTGAATAACAATTGTTTTGAAAACCATTCAGAAGCTTCAACTGGTGCAAAGTGCAATAGCAAGCACCATCTTTGCTGCCCCTATGAAGGCTCATACTACACCTCCTCAAAATTCACTGGCTACCAGTCCGCTTCTGAGTGCAGTTCAAGGTGTTGGTTATGACCAGCGGTGGGTTTCATATATTCTTACCACTAGTTCACCATGCACGTACACTCCCTTAACGCGTATCTTCCACGCATGCGCCCGGCCTCGAAAACGTGGCTAAATAGGATGGCATTACGAGAGCCCACCCGCAGTCAGTCGCCGCTACCAGTTCACTTGAAATGGTACGAACCGGCTGAATGCCATCTCTGGTTATAACCTTTAATGTCCTTAATGGCATTGGTCCAGGCTACATGAATCATTTCATCCCACTAAGATTAGCCCATCCTACTCAGGCTGGCAGAGGCACTACTGTGGATCCTGTTGGTCCAAGAACTCTGTCAAAATTCAAGTCTTCTCTGCCACAGCACCCACCCTTTAGAACATCCTGCCTTCCAGAGTAAGATCTGCCCGCAACATCCTAACCTTCAATAACAGCCTAAAGACCTGGCTCTGTGAGTTGGTCTGAGGATCCAATGGGAAAGTTCTACTCTGGAGGTGGCTACTTAGATTGATAGCACTTTCCACTTCTCCTCCCCCTCCCCAAACTGTTCCCCACTTGCCCATGTACTTTTAACTAGTCATATTGATGTACCGTATTTATCGGAGTATAAAATGCTCTGGACTATAAGACGCACCTACCTTTTTTGGTGAGGAAAACAAGAAATCTGCCTCTGCGTCCCAGCAATTTTGTCTTGTTGCAGCAAACAGCAAATAGCCTGCTTTACTTTCATTTTTGTTTTCAGCATAGCTTGATTAGCACAAGAAAAAAATTTTTTACCTCCTTGCAGCAAGCAGCAGAGGCCCTGCAAAACAGCTGAGAGTCGGGAGGCCGATCTAATCAACTTGTGCTAATTAGGCTGTGCTGAAGCTGAAATGAGCTGTTTCTTCTTGGTGCTTGCTGCAAGGAGGTAAACTGGTGGGAGGCAGAGGCCAAAGGGTGGGAACCAGTGGGTGGGCAGGGCTACATTTGGTGTATAAGACACAGCTAAATTTTCACCCCCTTTTAGGGGGGAAAAGGTGCGTCTATTTTCTCGGTTTACTTTTTCTTGGTTGTTTTATGGTTCTATTATTTTATTTTATTGTTCTATTATTTTACTTTAGCTTTGTTTAAACTTACTTTTTATTTCTTCATTTATTAATGTTATAAGCTGCCGAGAGTAGCCTTGTGTCGAGCTGGCAAATAAATTTAATAATAATAATAACTATAGCAAAAAAAACACACCTTCAAATGTAGACAACATACAGTAAATCAGATTTATTAGGCAAGTATAATGGAATAAATTATAATTGTAACTCTGGCTCTGCCAGCAGAGGATCTGTAATAGCATTGCATTTTACTGGGACTGTTCATTTCTACCAACAACACAACTTCATTACACTTTTTTTTTTAATTTCCAAGGGATATTTTCTATTTCATAATGAATTCTCCTAACCAACAGGATGAATCAGTACCATATTTACATTTGATTTAAACAACATTTTGTTTTCTAATAATATCTTAAATTTCATGATTCAATTCAGTGTTTCAAATATCATTGATAGGGTGGGGAAAAGAGAAGTCTTTAGTTATCTCAAAAAAAAAAAATCTAACATACTCCAACTTGTCAAATTTCACTTTCATGAATTGTATCTTTGATCACCAACCTGAGACTTATAATAGCAAAGAAGGTAACATTAAGCAACATGTGTAATTTAACAAGCTGCAACTAGCTGACAAAAAAAAATCCTTCTTTATAGTGTAGTATATCCTTCCCTATAGGAAAACTGTGCAGTTCTCTTTTAATAGTTCTCCTTTTATAGTAGAACTTTTATAATACCCATGAAATAAGAAGCGGCACAGTGTCTATATTGAGTCAGATAGTGCAGGTTTGAGGCAATGACATATATGTCTTCTATTAGTTCCCAATTTTTTGAGAATTGAAATACATACTACCGTATTTTTCGGAGTATAGGACGCACTGGAGTAAAAGACACACCTACCTTTTTTGGTGAGGAAAAGAAGAAAAAGAAATCTCCCTCTGCCTCGTTGCAGCAAACAGCAAACAGCCTGCTTTACTTTCATTTTCGTTTTCAGCATAGGTTGATTAGCACAAGGAAAAAAAAAATCTCCTCCAGCAATTTACCTCTTTGCAGCAGAGCCTGCACAAAACAGCTGAGAGCAAATCAGCTGAGAGTCGGGAGGCCAATTCAATCACCTTGTGCTAATTAGGCTGTGCTGAAGCTGAAAAGAGCTGTTTTTTCTTGCTGTTTGTTTGCAAGGAGGTAACTGCTGTGAGGCAGAGGCCAAAGGGTGGGAGCCAGTGGGTGGGAGGGGCTACATTCGGTGTATAAGACGCACCTAAATTTTCACCTCCTTTTAGGGAGGAAAAAGGTGTGCCTTATACTCTGAAAAATACGGTATTTTCTGCAGAGTATTTAAATTGGAAGCACATCTCATGCTTGTTTGAATTACACAACTGTACACCACAGTACTGACTTTATACCTCTTGCTAAGGGGAGAGAAATAAAATTTGCTTTTAATTGACAGGTTCAGTCACTCTTACTAAAAAAGATATTCTGACTTACGAATTTCCCAAGAATAATATAGGGATAAGTCAGCCATCTTAACATAGACTATATACATACTTTGAGACTTATTGTAATGAACCCTTTATGGTTACAACCCACAAAATTGGTGATATTTTACTGAGAAACAGGTTAATTTAAAAGGATGTTAAAAATAAAAACGGGTGTAACCAGACAAGAAAAGCAAGCTACACTGAATTATTTGACTTAGCCCTGTGTATTCTCAAGGAAGTACTTGATTTACTAATTATTAACCAAGAAGTGAGACATTAAACTCCTTACTTATCTAAGATATTAGGATTTCCTTAGTTTATATATACAATCTTTAAAACCTATCTTCTGCATACAGAAGATATATATTGCTAACAAAGTACTTTTGTTGATCTACAAGGCTGTGTGTATAATTTAAGCATATTCATGTAAATTATGGTGAAATATGCTTTCTTTCAGACATGAATTTTCCAATGGTTTTTCAGCCATTTGAATATTAAGTTATAGTAACTTCTTCTATACACATAATTACCATCTTTGTCTTTCAAAGGAGACAATTTTTTTTTTTTTTAAATTTGATTTATATGCCGCCCTTCTCCGGAGACTCAGGGCGGCTTACAGTGCGTTAAGCAATAGCCTTCATACTTTTGTATATTTATACAAAGTCAGCTTATTGCCCCCACAAACTGGGTCCTCATTTAACCCACCTTAGAAAGGATGGAAGGCTGAGTCAACCTTGAGCCTTGGAGAGATTCGAACCAGCAGTAAATTGCAGGCAGCTGTGTTAATAACAGGGTGCTTTAAACCACTGTAGTACCAAGGCAATTTTGTGGATGTCAGCACTATAACCCATCTGTTCTGTAATTCTGACCATGTTTAGGCTCAGAAATTAAGCAAGGATCTACAGAAGATTTTGAACTGAGCTGTCTTGACGCAACAGACTCACACGTGGAACATAGCTGTGTTTATGTTGAAACACTTCCAAATTACTCAGATTAGGTGCTTCTCATTCAAGACAAGGTGCTTCATAGTTGGAACAACACGTTTCGAATGAGGAACAGTTCAATTTGAAATGTTTTGCACAGTTCTACTACCAAAATTGCATCTGATTAATACTTGGATCCAGCGATGGGTTTCACAAATTCTTACCACCGGTCCGCTGCGCGTGCCCATGCTCGTTTAACGCACGTGCGCCTCTTCCACACATGTGCTTTGCCTTGTGTGCATGCGCCAGACCTCGGAAACATGGCTAAATAGGATGGCGTTATACCGGGATGGGTGGGCGGGCCACTCACAGTCACCGCTACCAGTTCGCCCCGAACCGGTACGAACCTGCTGAATACCACCTCTGCTTGAATCACCAGGGAATATTAGGACTATAGATATGACTGGAAAGTCAAAATGTCCCAAAAGACAGTGGCAATCCACCTCGATACTTATGCACTAAAACTGCATGGCTGTGTCCATACAATCACCAAGACTTCAAGCCTGATTTAAAAGTTGTCTTTCCTTTAACACTAAAAAGAACTACAAATTTAAAAAAAAAAATAGCAATTCTAAATAGATGCAGTTATTTCTCAAGCATTCCGTTCAAAACAACAGAAAAATTATAGTGTTGTCCATCTCTTGGTCTCCAAGGAGCTTTTTAAATCTTCCCACAGTATTTCCACATTGATTTGTCAAGTTCCATGTGAAAAAGTCACTGGATAACAGATTCAACAATGCCATTGCTTGGAGCTACTTTACAGTTCAAATCAATCGCTAGAATATCTTTAATAACAGACAGGTAGGGCAATTAATGAGAAGCAGCAATAAATGGAAGCTGGAAATTATACTTTTCATGCAAATGCAGTGTTTGTTTTTTTCAACACAAACTTCCACATGAGGAATTAATGGCTCAAAACAGGCCCAGTTCAATAATGAAAAAAGATGAAATCTTAGACTTTTAAACTTTGCGAGACAATTTCCAGTATCTTCTTTTCATTAGATCTGAAGATTAATAAATGGGGCAAAGCCCACTACATCCTGTAAGAGAACTAGGGCACGTTGAAATGGAGGCTCAACATCCAACTCCACTCCGCGACTACGCAATATGCTCAGGCTGGATTCCGCGACATCGTGACAATGCTTCACCTTCAAGGCACGAAGCTTAGGGCAGTACTCTGCCAAGGTCCTATCAAAAGAGAACACACAAAGCATCAAGATTACAGTCATCCACCAGGAACTACTCTCATTGACAATGAATAGTATTACACTTTGAGAGCAATGAAGTCAAATCATTTGTGTAATGTACTTCATAGCAATGTTATAAAGCTGAACAATTTTCAAAGATGATTTATTACGGAAGGAAAATTTAAGTCTGGATTCCCTTTCCTGACAGCCTTTTATCTGCTTAACCATTCCCAAGCCTTATATTCCTACAAAGTATACGGAGTTGCACTATATACAATAGCTACCAAAATACTTTATGCCTTTTTATTGAAAATCATTATTTAGAAGGATAGACCACTTTGTGGGAATATGCCTCAATGTCAAAAATACCTTATTTTTCAGAAGACGCACTCTTTTGTCTCTCAAAAGGGGCTGAAAATGTCTGTGCATCTTATAGACCAAATATTGGCAAAGCCCTGCTCACCCACATTTTTTGGCCTTTTTCAGGCCTTTTTTCGGCCCATTTTCGAGGCTTTTTTGGCTGTTTTCAAGGCTTTTTTGGCCCGTTTTCAAGGCTTTTTTCAGCCCATTTTTGAGACTTCTTTCGGCCCTCCCCCCCCCCAAAAAAAACTTCATATTGGCAAAACAAGTCTGATACAGAATTTAAATAATTTATGGATATTAATTCTGCATACCTATCACATCTAAAGTTTGGACTATTCTCAAGGTAGGATTTTAAAAATAGGTCTTATCTGTCATGTCATAAGTATAGATTTTTTTATTTGATAGAAACCTTGATTTTAATCAGTATTCTTAATACAAAGTAGACTTTTGTGAATTACTTATCATTGATCTGATTTTCACAATAATTAAGACCATTTTTCTCCAGTATGCAAGTATCTTTTAGGTATACGTTTGGTATAGAAATAAGGCGTATTCCTTAAATTCTGTTAAAATGAGTGCAAACTTCTAATGTAGAAAACTATTTTTAGGACAAACTGTGCTATATTCCATTCAGCAAATGACAAAGGTTGTTTTTCGCCATGACAACCTGTGCCTAAACTTTTCAAGATCCAACTGTGTTTTATTTTAATATATACTTTTTTATATAATCAATTTAAAATAAAGTAGGAAAGCAATGTAAACCAGAGAGGAACTGACACATCATCATTCAGCAGAAATTTCTGCTACTGGAACCAAACACTAAACACCAAAATATAAATTCAAGAATTTCAGTTCCCATACTGTTGCACTTGAAATATTTAATATTCCATCACTCCAAACAACTATGCAGGACCATAGACTCATTTGTTCAAAATTCTTTTCTTAAGTAAGGATCTTCAGGGAGTGCAGTATATGTACCATGTATATAAACTACCGCAAAATACTGGACTAAATACTTTATTAAGAATGTTATTGTCGACTCTGGATTTCAATATTTATTTTAATAATAAAATTCCTTCCCCTTCTTTATGTCTGCATGCTTATGTGATGTGCATGGAAGATAGTAATACCTACTAGCCCGTATAGATTTCTTAAACATTTCTTAAACAAGAATAAGAGATGCAATATTTCTTTGATTTATAAAGTGGATCTTTGAATACCTCTAAACAGACTAATTCTTCTGTAGCTGGCTAATTTTATTTTATTTCTGTGTCTTTAAGTCAGTGTATATTCCTGGCACCTGCCTGAACAAGTCTCTGTAATTTTCTTGGCAAGATTTCAGAAGTGGTTTGCCCTTGTCTGCTTCTTATGGCTGAGTGTGAGTAACTGTTCCGTAAGCCACAGTGGTGCAGTGGTTAGAGTGCAGTATTACAGGCTCCTTCTGCTGACTGCCGGCTGCCTGCAATTTGGCAGTTCAAATCTCACCAGGCTCAAGGCTGACTCAGCCTTCCATCCTTCCAAAGTGGGTAAAATGAGGTCCCAGATTGTTGGGGGCTGACTCTGTAAACCACTTAGAGAAGGCTGTAAAGCACTGTAAAGTGGTATATAAGATTTTTAGATGTAAATGTTTTTCATGCCCTTACTAATTTTCTACAGTGCAGTCCCTAGTATACCAGATAAACATTAATATAGTCCATGGTCTAACCAAAATTGCATGTCCTTAGTTTAAAAATTATGACCTTGCCCAACTATGACAACAGCCAACCAATCTTACATCAGAGTATCATATTCCTTCTCAAAAGCTTCAACATTTTTTTTGGGTGGGACCGGTCTACCAGAGAAACCTGGTCTACCCAATTATGGGATGGAGCATACTGTTTCTGTTTTCGCCTTTCAGACCCAATCCAGGAGCCTTCGCTGGTAGTCATTACCACGACTATTTCATTGTGTAAATAACTTTCTCAACATAAATTTCTCAAAAAAACTTCTTATCCAGCAAGTAATCCTGTCATGTAATTAATCAAAAATGATTTTTAAAAAATTCTTTCTAGTATTACACCATGTTTAGGGACTACTTTTAAAACAACTATTTGCAAACCTGGCAGTAATAACAATTTGTTTTCTGACCAATATGCACCATTTACAACCAAATTTACAACGAATGCCACAGTAATAGTGGCATAGCTATGTGATAACTTTATCCGAATGAACGGCAGGAACCTGTGATCTTCACAGTCTCTCTCTCTTATGTTCACTTAGCAACCATTTCATTTAATGACCAGGTCATTGTAGTAGAATTTGGTTGCTAAACAAGGAGTGGGTCTACTTATTTTCTAGATGTTATCTTCCTGTCAAATGGAGAAGAAATTACCCTGTTTTTCTCTCTCTCTTGGTTAAGCGTACTAAATAGGATTTAATCTGGTCTAAGAGTTAACTTTAACTGGTTTTCCCAGTTGCAATGTATGGCTGTGAAAGTTGGACCATAAGAAAGGCTGAGCGTCAAAGAATTGAGGCCTTTGAACTATGGTGCTGGAGAAGACTCCTGGAAGTCCCTTGGACTGCAAGGTGATCAAACCGGTCAGTCCTAGAGGAGATCAACCCTGACTGCTCTTTAGAAGGCCAGATCCTGAAGATGAAACTCAAATACTTTGGCCACCTAATGAGAAGGACTCACTGGAGAAGAGTCTAATGCTGGGAACGATTGAGGGCAAAAGAAGAAGGGGATGACAGAGAATGAGGTGGCTGGATGGAGTCACTGAAGCAGTCGGTGTGAGCTTAAATGGACTCCAGAGGATGGTAGAGGACAGGAAGGCCTGGAGGAACATTGTCCATGGGGTCACGATGGGTTGGACACGACTTCGCAACTAACAACAAGAGTTCATTTAACCGTTAGATAATGTAACAAATATAAAATTGGTTTAAGTCTGTTTCACAGTTTAAGGCATTAACATTACTCTTAAAATAATTGAACACCACATGTCAATTTTGGATGTTCTAAAACCAAAAATTGGCACCAGAACCAAATTCTGGCCACAAAATCAGGACAAGTTCTGTCACTGCAAAATATTCAGAGACTGATTCCTTATAGTGGCCACCTATCACAGCCAAAAACTAAAAATATCAAGTCTCCTTCATTCAGCCAGGATACCATAACAATTTATCAGCCTAACCTACCTCATGTTGAGAGGACAAATCTTGGCCTGCCATCCTGAGCAGCAGTGGGTTTCCAATATTCTTACTACCAGTTTGGCGTGTGCACACACGCATGCACCTTCCACACATGCACCCAGCCTTCCGTGCATGCACTTTGCACGCATGCCTTTCGCGTATGCACCTGGCCTCGAAAACGTGGCTAAATAGGACAGCATTACGTCGGGGCGGGTGTGCCCACCCGCTCCGCAGTCGCTGCTACCGGTTCACCCGAACCGGCTGAATACCACCTGATCCTGAGGCCCTTGAAGAAAAGATGAAACCTAAATGTACTGCAAAAAAAAAAAAAAAAAAAGAACAATATTTTTTACTCCCACTTATGCACAAATTACCTAATGGAGTTGTTCTTCACTCGCAGGCAGCCTGTGAGGTCCAAATGCTCCAGGTCAGAACAGGCTTTGGCAATTTCTTCTACGGCCGTATCACCAACATTGGCATTAACAGCCAGCGAAAGGGATTTTAATTTGTTGCATCTTTGAGCAAGATAGGAAATGGCTTCATCTTTCAGCTGCCGGCAGGCTGTAAGATCTAGAGATTCAAGCTCTTTGCAGTGATCAGCGAGGCTCCGCAAGGAAAGTCCATCCACCCATTCGCAATGGGCCAAAGAAAGTTGCCGCAAATTGGGGCAGCCCAAAGAGATGGCCACCAAAGCATGGCGGCTCAGCTGTACGCAGCCGTTCAATTCAATCTGTTGCAGCTGATGGTTTTGGCCAATCACGGGAAGCAGTTCCTTGTCAGATAACCAGTCAGAGCAGTTTTGCAAGGCTAGTTGTTGCAGCACTTTATTGTCTCTTAACAGGACACAGAATGCAGGTTTTGGGATATGAGGCCCAACCTATTTGTAGGCAAGAAAACAAACCATTATATCCTATACCAGGGGTCGGCAACCTTAAACACTCAAAGAGCCACAAAGGCCCTAACGAGAAGCCTTCTGTTCAATTCTGAAGCCGACCAGAAGTCCGGTTCCCTCACCATAAAGTCTCCTCCTAGCACGGCATCCTTTTTCCTCTACTGTCCTAATCGAAAGCCCTATCAATTGTGGAGCCGACCGGTGACAGGGAGCAGCAGCAGAGGGATGAAAGAGCCACATGCGGCTCCAGAGCCACAGGTTGCTGACTCCTGTCCTATGCTATATGCCTTTTGCACTCCTAGTATAACAATGTAAGAAAAAAAAGGAATAAACCAAAATTATCTCAGCATTACCAAACTATGTCAAAGATATTGTTAAATAAGGAAAGACTGTGAACTTTAGAAAAATAGAAGAAAACAAAAAAATGAAACAAGTGTTATCAAGACTTTATCAATGATAAACTGAGTCATATAAGTTCTAACTAGAGATAACCTCTATTCAGGTTAAGATATAGCTTATTTTCAACCTATGTTTCAACTAAAACATTCAACAGAAACCAAAGACCATCTGATTTATTTTTCTTAACAAAATCAATTACTTTTGCACCTGTGTTTTTATTTTTCTAATAAAATCACTGCTAAAATTTTAAAAGGCTTAGCAACCTTTGAGATGTTAATTCAGCCAGTAAATTATATCTCATTCTGTTTTCTCACTTCTGACATGAATCTGAAAACCCCCTCTGACATTGGAGCAGTTGCTATAATTTGACCTCTAACCTTATGCACTCTACAGAGATCTGTAATAATGAGAGGACTTTTTAAAAAATTTCTAATACCTGACTAGAATCAAAACAGCGCAGGTTGGTAAGATAAAGCTGGATTAGATTCCGGAAACACTTGCTGACCCTTTGCAGGCTCAAGAGCTGTCTCAGAGGGAGATGCGAAAGAATATGAGGGAATAAGATGTCTTCCCAAGGCAAATCCAAGAAATGTTTCCTGGAATAAAAAGCAAAAAAAAAAAGCAAGAAAGAAAGCTGTTTACACCAAGCAACCTAGAACTAAGGAGAAATTTCCTGACAGTTAGAACAATTAATCAGTGGAACGACTTGCCTCCAGAAGTTGTGAATGCTCCAACACTGGAAGTTTTTAAGAAGATGTTGGATAACCATTTGTCTGAAGTGGTGTAGGGTTTCCTGCCTAAGCAGGGGATTGGACTAGAAAGACCTCCAAGGTCCCTTCCAACTGTTTTTCTATTCCTATTCCTATTCCTATTCCTATTCCTATTCCTATTCCTAATTCTATTCTATTTCTAATTCTTATTCTTATTCTAATTTTATTTCTCCCACTTCTGACTATACAGCTGTAACCTTGTTGCTGGTATCTTTAAAATTCATATTGACTGTTTCCTAATAGGTTTTGATAGCTTATTTGTTCCCTATGACTATCATTAAGCATTGTACCTTATGATTCTTGACAAATGTTCTTTTCTTTTACGTACACTGAGAGCGTATGCACCAAGACAAATTCCTTGTGTATCCAATCACACTTGGCCAATAAAGAATTCTATTCTATTCTATTCTTATTCTATTTTATTCCTTCTTCTATTCTATTCCTCCTTCTGTTCTATTCTATTCTATTCTATTCTATTCTATTCTATTCTATTCTATTCTATTCTATTCTCTATATTCTATATTCTTTTATTTTCTCTTCGTAAGAGCGGAGGTCAGGTGCTTTCAAAATGTCAGGAAAGTCCTTTTTGATCTTTGAGCCCCGAAAACCAAGCAATTATTTGCAGCACTGCAAGTCCTCTACTCGGGTTTATGCTCATTCCCCCCCCCCCCCCCTTTTTTTTTTTGCAACAAGTATTAAATCCTGCAGGCCAAAGAAGGCGCAAAATGCCCTCCAGCCCAGCCCAGCCTCAAAATTATTCTTTGCTCCGGTGGGGCACCATCCCTTCCCTTCCCAAACCCCAAACCCGATCCACAGATTCTACTGAGCCTCCATCCATGGTGGGCAGGGATTCACCCGAGCCGATCCTCGGGCGCCCATGGCGGAAGCAAGGCCGCAGAAAGACCCTGGCAACCGCCATTTGGCGCAGAGTCCACAAAACGAGCTCATCTTCGCCGCCGCCCCCCTCAGCCGAACCTCCAGCCCTTCCCGACTCTCCCTTCGCCAACCTCGGCGGTGCCGAAAGAGCAGCCATCCCCTCCAACACCCGCCGCCGCCGCCACACCTTCCGCGGAAATTACGTTAGTTTCGAGAACGGAAACGGGAACGAGCAGAAGATGGTAGAGATAATAAGGAGTGGGAAATGTGAAATGCAAGCAAAACACCCATAGCAACGTGTGCAACCGGTTAGGATTGAAGGGGAAAAACAACCTGCAGAATTGCCGGTAAGCTCCAGATTTGAGCTTTGCAAAGACGACGCCCGGCTTAAGGGAAGGAAAGCAAAACCGTTTTTTTTTTGCTTGCAGTCCGGTTTAAGACGGGCGGACAGCGCTTCTAGGGTGAGAGTCAAAGGACCGGCTTTGGAGTCGACAAGAAACCGGGATCAAAAGACAGTGGAATGAAGCCAAAAATCCGAATAAAACGCAGCCTTGGAAAGAAACCCGTTCTGCTAGATTTATTTACCTGGAATCCGCTGGAAACCACCACCAAATATTAACCAGCACAGAACACTATCTATCTATCTATCTATCTATCTATCTATCTATCTATCTATCTATCTACCTACCTACCTACCTACCTACCTACCTACCTACCTACCTATAGAACACACAGTATACAGAGGTGTATACTGCACTAGTCAAAAAAAGGGCTGTGAAAATATCTATAGACCCCCTCACATCCTGGACATAAAGCGTTTCAACTTCTACCCTCAAAATGTCGTTATAGAGTACTGCGTACTGCGCACCATAACAACTAGGCACAAGGACACTTTCCCCCGAATGCCATCACTCTGCTAAACAACTAATTCCCACAACACTGTCATATTAACTACTAAGACTGTATTACTATTCTTTTTCTCAACCTTACTAGTATCTATCTCTTCCCTCTTATGGCTATATCCATGTTGCTTGTATCTTTACGACTTATATTTTATTTTTTTAAAAAAAAAAAAAAAATTTTATGAAATAGTTTTTTAAAAAAATAATTTTTTTTTTACAATTTTCTTCTTTGCAACATTTTCGCATTGGTAATCATTTCTTATATATCCATTTTTCTCCCTTATTTCAATTTACTGTTTATATATATGATTCTAATATTGATTTATATATATAAAAATAACCATGTACTCAATTTCAATCATTCTGTCAGTTCAATTTCCACTTGTTTGTTGTTACGTTTCAAATCCTGTATCTTCCTCATTTAATATTTCCTTGCCCTTTATACCTCTCCTCTAACCATTCATACAATTTCTCCCATACCATGTAGTATTGTTTCCTCCTTTTCTTGTATTTCTTTTGTGAGTGTTTTTATTGTTTCCTAGTATGATTTGATTGCTTATTAGTATCATATGACTATCACTAAGTGTTGTATCTCATGATTCTTGACAAATATATTTTATTTTTTCTTTATGTACACTGAGAGCATATGCACCAAAGACAAATTCCTTATGTGTCCAATAAAGAATTCTAGTCTAGTCTAGTCTAATCTAATCTAGTCTAGTCTAGTCTATATAATCGTGGATCAACTACGTAGGCACGTGGGTTCAAAACTCAGATTCTTCTGATTTTGTGGGTTTGTTACATGTCAGCATATCAAACCACATTGCATATATATATAGAAACCCATTTGTGTTTGCACATATAGAAACACAAAATGTGTTTCTATATGTGCACTGTGCCATGCAACTGTCACAGTAACGGGCTCAACAATGTTGGTCTCACTTGAGTTTGTTTAAATTAGCTCTTTCTTAATGCTCTCCTAAACTGCAGTTACCTCATCCCCAGGGGCATAGCAGTAAGCTATTTTGTCCCAGTGGTGCTTTTTCAAAAGGCAAGTGGACTTTCTTTGTTTTTTTTCTTGAAGACGGTTTGCTTCTCATCCAAGAAGCATCCTTAGTTCTGACTAAATGCTGGGGAATGGAAGGATTTGCAGTCATCTGGTTGTTAGCACTTTGAGGGTGGGTCATTAGATCTCTGAGAGCCCTTGAAACCCCTTGGGGATTTATCTGTGCCCTCAGGGTCACCTGAATCAGAGTGCAAATGGGTGTGGAATCTTCTTGGAACTGCTGAAAGGACTGTGTTGTAGACAGGAGATTGTTGGTGAAAGAGGGCTGTTCAATTTTAACAGATGGCCTAGTTTATCTGTCTTTCAAACCAGTGGTCTTCTCTATCCAGAATGTGGGCTTTGCTGTCTTCAAAAGCAGTGGTCACCAACCAGTGGTCTGTGGACCACTGGTGGTCTGTGAGAAAATTTTGGTGGTCCGCAGAAAAATTATTTGCATTTTTATATTGCACTAAATACTACTTATCTTTTAAAAAATTTGTATTAGTGGTCTGTGGGATTTAAAATTTTGAATTTAGTGGTCCCTGAGGTCCGAAAGGTTGGTGACAGTGGTGGGTTGCTCCCAGTTTGGACCGGTTCGCAAGAACCGGTAGTAAAACCAGCAGGAGGCCCTGCCCACCACCCCAGACATTGTCATCAGTGATCTGCACATGCGCAGAAGCAAAGTACCCACGCTAGCAAAGCAAGCACAGGCGTGCGATCCCGTTGCGAACCGGTAGTAAAGGTAAGTAGAACCCACCCCAGTTGGTGACCCCTGTTCAAGAGTGACCTTTTGTCTTTCAAATGCAGATAGACTGCTGAATCTTGTCATGATGGGTTTGTTCTATGTTGTGCCATATGTTTGTGAAATGGTTGTTTTGTTGGCACACTTGCCATCCAAATTTCCAACTACCAGAGAATTGGAAAAAAGAGCTGATGTGGTTCCCTTTTTTTAAAAAAAAAAAAAAGGTTGGGAGAGGAAACAGATCCAGGAAACAACAGACCAATCAGCCTTTTTTAAAAAAATTGGGCTTCCCTTCATGTACATCTACATGTAAATGACTTAGATGAGGAAATAGAAAGGGAGTACCATTAAGGAATACTCACTGAGTCCGGTTTGTCAACCAGTTGCAAATCTGGTGGTGATGCTGTCTATGCCAGATTTTTCTAATTTACCAATATATAGGATGTGATCTACTTTGTTGAATGCCTTGCTGAAGTCTAAGTATACTATGTCACGCAGCATTTTGCTGGTCTACTAATTTAGTCCCTTTGTCAAAGAATGAAATAAGATTGGTTTGGCATGATCTGTGAGTAAGACCACACCTGGAATACTGCATCGAGTTTTGGTTATCACATTACAAAAAAGATGTTGAGACTTTGGAAAAAGTGCAGAGAAGAGCAACTAAAACTATTAAAGGCTTGGAGACTAAAACGTATGAAGAACTGTTGCAGGATTTGTGTTTGGCTAGTCTAGAGAAAAGAAGGACTAGGAGGAACATGATAGCAGTATTCCAATATTTGAGAGGCTGCCACAAAGAGGAAGGGGTTAATTCTCCAAAGCCGCAGAGGGCAGGACAAGAAACAATGGATGGAAACTATCAAGGAGAGAAGCAACCTGGAATTAAGGAGAAACTTCCTAACAGTGAGAACAATTAACCAGTGGAACAGCTTGTCTTCAGAAGTTGTGGATGCTCCATCACTGGAGGTTTTAAAGAAGAGACTGAACAGTCACTTGTCTGAAATGGACAGGGGTGCCAAACTCAATTTCACTGAGGGCCACATCAGCATTATGGTTGCCTTAAAGGGCAAGTTGCATGTAAGACTATGATGACTCACAGTGGCCAGGTGGGTGTGGCTGGGTAGGCCTGGCCGCAACTAGGTGGGCATGGGTGGTGGGTGTGGCTGTTCACTGGGCATAGCTGACTTGGGACTGTGGGGTCGGGACAGAATAAGTCTCACCGGCTAACTCTAACTCGACATGGGGACAATTTGGTGCCCCACAAGCTCCTCGCCTACCCTAACTGCTGGTAGCTAAGCACATGCGTTCACACACACACACACACCCTGCATTCCAAGTTTGGGGACTTTTATCCACAGAGAAGAGGGCCTTCTCTCCAAGCCCAAGCACGATTGGCAGTTTGCAAGCTCAGCTGTGGATAAAAGTCTCCAAGCATGGAATGGTGTGGTCTCCCGGCCTAAGGGAGACAGTAAAGAAGCAGATAGCCAGGCAGACTGGCTGGCCGGCCGGGTGGCCAGCAATGATCTGGGCAAAGGCAACTGTCAATGCGTCCGCCCGCCCCATGGAGGCGACAGCAGGACAGGTGTCAGGGCAGCTGTCGGGGGGGGGGGGGGAGAAAGGGGGGGTTCCAAGCTATTTGGGGGGGGGGGGCTGTCAAAGGGGGGGTGGAGCGCAGAGGCCCAGGAGGAGCGCCCAGCCAGGTGGGGTGGGCCAGGGCCAAGGCTGCAGGGGTCTGTCACTCCAGGGCAGCTCCGTGGGCCAGATCTAAATGCATTGCAGGCCAGATCTGGCCTGCAGGCCTTGAGTTTGACATGTCTGGTATAGGATCTCCTGCTTGAGCAGGGGACTGGACTAGAAGACCTCCAAGATCCTTTCCAGTTCTATTCTGATTTTGACTCTGATTGCAATTCATTCCTTTCCTCGCTCCCATGACTGTTGTTTGGTTGTGAGTGAGGTTCAAGCAAGGTGATTTAAACATATTAAATATGACATCTGTTCTTCTGTCTGTTCGTAGTTGCCATACACAGTTATTTATTTATTTATTTTATTTCTATACCGCCCTTCTCCTGCGGGACTCAGGGTGGTGTACAGCCGAGATAAAACATTGCATATAAAATTTAAAAACAGTTTAAAAAACAATTAAATAATTTCGGCCCAAGATTTAAAACAACCCAATTAAAACCGAATTCAATTAAAACTGAGAGGATGGGATCAAGCCAGCCCGGCTAGATGGAATAAGTGTGTTTTCAGGGCCCGATGAAAAGTCCGGAGGTCTGATATCGTGCATATCTCAGGGGGTAGGTCATTCCAGAGGGCAGGTGCTCCCACAGAGAAGGCTTTCCCCCTGGGGGTCACCAACCGGCACTGTCTGGCCGATGGCACCCTGAGGAGGCCCTCTCTGTGCGAGCGAACCGGTCGGTGGGAGGCTATTGGCGGCAGAATGCGGTCTCGCAGATACCCCGGCCCTAAGCCATGGAGCGCTTTAAAGGTGGTCACCAACACCTTGAAGCTCACCCGGAAGACCACAGGAAGCCAGTGCAGCTCGTCCAGGAGAGGTGTCATATGTGAGCCCCCCGTCACTCCCATAATCCCCCGCGCGGCCGGATTCTGAACTAACTGCAGCCTCCGGGTGCACCCCAAGGGGAGCCCCATGTAGAGAGCATTGCAGTAGATTATACCTCCTCTCTACAAACATTACCCACTGCTTAAATTGTTGAAACACTTCTGTTTTGCTTTTTAGTAAGTAACAAAACCCATAACTTGAGAAAACATCAACAATTACCAAAGCAAACTTACCCACTCCCATTGATGGAGATAGGGGGCCAATTAAATCAGCAAAATTCTTTCAGATTTTCTTTCACTTCTTTTTGCTGACA